CCTGGCCAGCACCTGCACCACAGGGACAGGGGAGGGGTGCCCAGGAGGGAGGCCCTGCTCCCCAGGCTGTGCCCTGGGCCAGGCCCCCATGGAAGCCAAGGCTGCTCGGGGGCCAGGCTGACCTGGGCCTAGGAGAAAGCCGGTATGGACAGGGGCTACCAGAAGCACATTGGGAGGGAGAGGCAAGTCTGCTCCTGTTCTGCAAGTTGTGCCTCTGAGGTCTAACACAGAAGCCCAGCATGGAGACAGCTAGAGGACAATGGGCCAGGCAGGGGTGGGCAGCCGCCGCAGGTGGACACCCACCTTGAGGGGGTACGTCCCTCTCAGGCCCCCTGAGGCTATGGAAGGAGGCCAAGCCGGGCCCTCGCTGTGCCCACAGGGCAAGGATTTCTCTGCTGGGCCTGTCCTTAGCCTTCCACAGTGGGGTTGCGTGGGCCTGGCCAGCTGTGTGAGGAGGGTTGGCATCCCCGTGGCCTCCATGATCCTGTCTGCCTGGCCGGGTCCTCTTGGGCCCTCGTTGTAGTCTCTGTGTATAGCTGGCCTCCCCCGCTACTGTATCCCCTCATCCTGATTCCCTGTTCCGCTCCAAGTACAGTTCTGCTCTGCCGCCTGCACCAGCAGCGGGAGGCAGACATCTGCTCGCCACCACCCTCGGTGAGGGGGCGCTGCCAGTGCCCTGCCTGTCTCTGCCTCCTGTGTCCACCAGGTCCTTCAGATGCCTGTGCTCAGAGGGCACAGGCCTTGCAGGTGGGTGCTGGGGGCGCGGCTGCCTTCAGCAGGTAGTGGAGCAATGATGGGGACCCAGGAGAGGACAGGAGGTATGAGTAGCCTGGGTGGGGACCGTGCAGGCCCTCCCTTGGCAGTGGGTCTGGATCCCTGAGAAACATCTTGGCCTTTCTTTACCCAGGGCACAGATTCCAGGGCTTCCACCACCACAGCCCTAGTCCTGGTGAGTTTTTTATTTTGAGACAGACTCTTACTGAGTTGCCAAGGTGGTACTTGAACTTTTGATCCTCCTGCCTCAGTGTCCTTCTGTGCTGGGATCGCTGGCCTGTGCCCCGTGCCTGGCTTCCTTGCCACCTCATAGATGAGCAGAGTGAGCCTGGAATGGGGCCTGGTACCCTTAGTTCCCAGCCAGGCTGTCAAGTGGCACACTGCACCCACACCAAGCACCTCACCCACCCCGTCAGGCCAGACATGCTGCTGGCGCTGGCTGCCAGGTCCAGTGGGGTCTAGGTGCCCAGCCCAGTCACAGGGCAGTCGGGGCCCAGCCCTTCACAAGTTTCACGGCCTAGCTCCTCCTTTTGTCCCCAGCTGGTGTCAACACACTCATTTCCATCTGATGGGCTGGGTCAGGAGATGCAGTGGTTGTCCAGGGCCTGCGGGTCAGTGGCAGAACCTCCTGCCCAGAATCAGAGCTGTCCACTGCCCCAGGCCTTGGCAGCTGCCTTGGCCGTGCCAGGGTGGGCAGGCTCTAACCCTCCCCCACTCTCAATCCATCTTTGTTCTGCCTCTGGGAAGGCAGCCTGGAGCTGGGACAGGGACCTTGGGACTGGCATGGGGGCAGACAGGGGGCAGCCTTCCCACCCGCACACAGGCTGGGCCCTGAGGCACTAGCACACAGCCACCAGGAGCTGAGTCCTAACCCAGCCACCACCATCCCCCGTCCCGGGGTTGGGAGAGGAATTTCCACAGGACAGCACAGGACAGGAGGGACACAGCGGCCTTCCAGAGGGGTCTCCAAAGTGTCCCATCTTGCAGACACTACCCAGGCACAGGCACCCTGGGGTGGCCTGTGGTCTCTTGGGCGTGCCCCATGGCCCAGTGAAGCTTCTGCAGAGGAAGGACATGAGGCTGGGCACCAGGGGAGGCCTCTGACCCTACCCTGCCAGATTCCTGACACTTGTTGCCCCCCATGTCTGCCAGTGAGGCTACCACAGGGTGCTGTGCTCAGAAGGTGTCCTTGTCATTCCCCAAGCCTCTCCCATCCCAGACTCCACAGCAGAACCCCAAGGATATCAGGGCATCCAGGCCCTTGGAGAGCAAGCATTGGCTCTGCTTTTTGTGCAGCTGGGGAGATGGGGCCTGGAGAGAGGCCCTGTTGGTACTGGCAAGTCCAGGGCAGCCTGGCCCAGTGCTGTTTTACAGCAGATGGAAGCGAAACCCGGCTTCCTGGTGTAGGGCCTCCACCCTTCCTGTCCTCCCTGGGCGGGGAGCGTGGTGCTGGGGGAAGGGAGATCAGAGATGGCCCAGCCTGCCCACCAAATCCCAGTACGTGGTGCCCAGCACAGGTGTGGGGTGAGGGCAGCACCCACCATGCTCTGGCAGGCATTTCCTGTTTCCTGCTCCTGCTAGCACTAGGCAGGTGTCCTGGTGATAGACATGTCACCCCGCATGTGGCTGCAGTCCTACTTGATGCACCTGCTCCCTACTTTTTTTTTGCTTTTTAACCTGACACTGAGACAGCACCATCATGCCCTCCCCACCCTGGGCAGCAGCAGCAGTGGGAGTGGGGCCTCCTTGTGTGGAAGCAGTCTCAGGTGGCAACTGGGTATTCCAGGCCTGGCCTGCCTGATGAGCCTGCTGCAGGAGACCCTACCAGGGCAGACCCAGTCCCCCAGGGGGCTTGCAGCCTAGTGGGAAGCAGAAACCCTAGCTGGCAGGAGCAGGGGTCACAGTGGACAGGCTCAGCTGCAAGGGCTGCCTCAGAACCCTAGGAGCAGCCAGGGATGCTTGCAGCTCAGGAGCTGAAAGTTGTCAGGCAGTGGAAAAATGTAGGTTCTTGCAAGAGCTAAAAATAGTGGTGCAGCCCCTGCCTCCGGGTTCCGGAATCCCGTTCCTGCTGCTCTTTCTGCCCACCCGTGGAAGACAGCTCCCTCCTCTGCCTACCCCCACCCCTGTCCCCACTGGCTCTGGGCCCAGACGCATCCCAGCTCCTGTCCTGGTGCTGCCAGGGCTCTCTCAGCTGCCTCCGCACCCCCAGATGCCCCATGCCTGCCTCTGCTTCTGATGCAGCTCCCCAGGCCCCCAGGACACAGGCCGAAGGTGGCCGGTACCTCCTGGGGAACCTGGCAGGAGCCACAGGTCCCCAAGCCTAGAGTGCTGGTTGAACTCTGCCACTTGGGGGCCAAAGACTGGTTCCCCCTCACTGGGGTCCCTCCACACAGAGTGCACAGCTCAGAGCCAGCTGGGCAGCCCACCCTGCCCTCTGGCTTTGTGTGCACAGCAGGGCAGGGGTAGAGTGCCTGTGAGGTCCGGGCACCCTTGATCCCACTTCTCCAGCACATGGGGGCCCCATGACTCCAGCCAGGGCAGTGGCCTCTGACACCCCGGAGTCAGTGCTGCTGCCTGGGCTTGTGCAATAGAACTGCAGGCATTACCATGCCAGGCTGGCCAGGTGCAGGCCGGAGGCAGGCATCTTACCAAGAACCCCCTCCAGGGAGATGGCCGGCAGCTGACTGGACCCCATCCCTACCTCTCCAGGGGGCTGGCCCCTGGAACGCCCTGTGGGAGGCCCCGCCTGCGCGTGGGGGAGCCTGGGTCTGAGAGGAAAGCCTGGGGGGGGGCACTCAGCAGATAAAGCAAAAGTTGAAGAGCCTCTGACTGCTCATCCCAGAGAGGGATGATCTAGAGCTCTGGGCCTCGGTGATAGAAGCCCCACCCGCAGCAGCTTCCTTAGGGCTAGGGGGCGCAGGGCTGCTGAAACCTGACTCATTGGAGCCTGGGATTCGTCGGATAAAGCACTGCTGTAGCAAATTCGGGCTTGGGCGCCCTAGGCCACACCCCCAAACGCCAGTCTGAGCCGTCCCCAGCCCCGCCCTGTCTCCCCACCCCTGCCAGGCCTGGCTGGGAACCAGACACTAAGCCCCAGGGCTGGGCAGGGCCACAGGCCCACATTCCTGACACTCCTCGGAGTGCCGGCTGGCCCTGTCCCCACTTTACAGATGGAAAACAGAGGGCCAGGGTGTCTGGCCCAGGGCACTGCTGTTGAGCTCAGGAATAAGCTTCCACCTGGGTTGGCCAGTGTGATGAGGACTGTTACCCATTGCACCTTGTCCCTGAGATCAGTAAACTGGGTCCTCAACTTCCTGTGCCCTGGGCTGACAGGGCTATGTTCAGTGGTTGCGGTCACTTGGCAGAGACCGAAGGGGGAGCAGGGGTGGGGGAGCTTTAGTCTCTCTGTGGAGAAAGCAAGGCTGGAGTTCCCGCAAGAGACTGACAGAAAGGGGGGGGGGTCTCCTGTTCAGAGCTCTGTGGCTCCTCGTTGGACAAAACTAATGGAAGCTGTCAGTCATTGGTTAAGTCCCCCAGTCGTGTGAGATCTTGGTTGGGTCAAGGTGGGTCAGGGTCCTGTATCTGCTGGGGCTGCCCATTGTGTGGGGTTTCAGTATCACCCCACAGAGGCAGGGCCTTTCTAGCGTCACATTCCTGCCCGGGGCCTGACCAAGGCTGTGCATTATGCTGGCACCAGGGGGAAAAACGGCTCTCACCTGGGCCTCTGGGTGTCAGCTAAGCTTGCTGGCCAAGCTGGACAGTGCTAGACAAGCTGACACCAGGGCAGGACCAGCCACCTCCTGCCAAGATTCCACTCCCAGGCCAAGGGGACGCCCATCAATTGGGGTCTTTTAAGGAGCTGTAGTTCCAGGGACGAGGGGTATACAGGTGGGGAGGACTGGGCAGTGCTTGGGGCAGTCCTGAGGTCAGCAAGCACCCTGGCCTTCGTATCTGGGGACCCTGGGACCTGGGCACTGCAGCTCTCAGCAGCCCTGTTGTGTCCAGTTCAGGTCTTTCTGCTTGGAGAGCCCAGGCTCCCAGCTGGAGTGGGTGCTGTAAATGCCAGAGACTGGCTGGGAGTGTTCATGCTCAGCCTGTGCCAAGGGGGCAGGGACTCCAGCCAGCAGGGCAGAGGGTGGGTGGGAAAGGGAGGGCCCGCTCCAGGCACCTCCTCAGGCAGCTACATAGGGTGGGCGTCAGGCATCCAGAGGCCACTTGGCCTTCTCCTCCTCATGGTGGAACAGCTGCTGCCCCTCCCTGTGGGGCCTTGGGGACCTGAAGCAGCATGAAGTCCACAGCGATAAGAGGCCCTCTGCAGGGTCTGGAATGGGTGGGCAGAGGCGGCCGCAAGATCTTGCGCATCTGGGTGAGTGGACACAGGTGACCGAGGGTGGGCCTTAAACATGGCAGTCAGAGAGGACCACAGGCTTCCTGCCTTCTGTGGCCTAGCAAGGGCCCAGGCTGTGGGGTCGGAAAAGGGGGTGGAATCCACCAGCGCCCCCAGCACCCATAGGCCTGAGCCAGAGATACAGATGCGGAAGCCAAGGCTTAGGCTGAGTGACCAGGCTGTGGGTCCATTCACAGGGCAGCAGGGCAGACAGTGAGGGGCTGGACAGGGCCTTATTCTGTGCTCTGGACAGGCAGGGGCACTGTAGGACCCTCACTCAAGCAAGAGTGGGTCTTGGGTGGCCCTTTGGGGTCTTAGCTTACCAGGCTGAGCTGGACTTGTGGCAGAGCCATGCTGGACAGGAGCGCTTAGACTCCCAGACTCCCTGGGGGCTGGCCATATCTCTGCTGTCCCCCACCATGAGGCAGTGGGCATGAGACCTGGCCTTCCTATTTCCTCCATGGCCTCACGCATTCAGCAGGGGAGAGTATGGGGAAGGCGTCCTTCCAGTGGGAACAACCCAGCGCTGCCTTGCCAGGGTTGCCCTCCCGTGACTCCATGCTGCTGTTCTCAGGCCCTAAATATAAGATCACAGCTGTACATGGTCGCAGGAGGGCCTGGGACACCCCTGACCTTTGAGGCTGTCCCCAAGGGCTATAGTTGGACAGAGTTGCAGCCAGCTGGGCCCAGGCAGTGAGGTTGGAAGTGGCAGCAGGAGGCTGTCTGCCTGCCCATGGTTCTGTTTCAGGGGCCGCTGGCCTGGAGCCAGACCCACACTCTGGCCCCACGGTCTCAGTGCTGGTTCATCTGTGCACTACCCCCATAACTCTGGCCTAGGGAGACCAGCTGATGAGGCCACTGACCGCCTGGGTGAACCCTGGGCATTCATCACTCAGGGCCCAAGGCCATGGGCAGCCAGGAAGGAGACCCAGCAGCACTGTCCCCACTGGTTGGTGGCCTTCCAGCCAGTGTAGCCACCTGCTGGGCCCGTCCAAGCCTCCTGGTTCAGGCTGCTGCTCCCCTGGATCTGCTCTGGGCGTGCTCATGTTCTGTGAGGGGGCCATACCCTCTTCCCTTCCTGTCTTCTCAGCAGGATGCACAGTGGGGAAACTGAGGCAGAGGACTGTGCCCCCTTCCCCTGGTGGCCATGCCTCTCAGCCTGTGGGTCACTCTGTCCCATGACCAGGCTGACCACCTCCTGTCCTGCCCCACAGTTTGACAAGATGTCGGTGAAGGAGGGCGCACAGCGCAAATGGGCGGCGCTGAAGGAGAAGCTGGGGCCGCAGGACTCAGACCCCACGGAGGCCAACCTGGAGAGTGCTGAGCCCGAGCTGTGCGTCCGGCTGCTGCAGATGCCCTCTGTGGTCAACTACTCGGGCCTGCGCAAGCGGCTGGAGAGTAGTGACGGCAGCTGGATGGTGCAGTTCCTGGAGCAGAGCGGCCTGGACTTGCTGCTCGAGGCCCTGGCAAGGCTGTCGGGCCGCGGAGTGTCACGCATTGCCGACGCCCTGCTGCAGCTCACCTGTGTCAGCTGCGTGCGTGCCGTCCTGAACTCGCAGCCAGGCATCGGGTACATCCTCAGCAACCAGGGCTACGTGCGCCAGCTCTCCCTGGGTGAGCACAGGGCGGCTGGCAGGCCCAGCTGGGCAGGCTCCCTGCAGGGGGGCAGAGGGCATCCCATCATTTGCACCTGGCTGTCCCTTCCGTCCCTTCTGTCCTGTGACTACGAGCCCTGCAGTGGCCCCGTCCTCAGCCCCAGGTTTTGGTCCACACAGTATCCACCCAAGGGCCCCATGAGTGACCCTCCTGGCTTCAGGCCCTTGCACCTTGCACCTAGGCACCAGGCACAGCCTCCACCTCGTCCATCCACACCATTCCTCTGATGTCTCCTGGGCCTGGCCCAAATTGGTCCCCACCAGTAGCAAGAAGCCCCTTGTTGGCTGGGATCTCATGTGTCCTTTGCCCACCCACTGTGTTGTTCCAGGGTAACCAAGCCCCACAGAATCTCCAGTGCTGGCCAGGGATAGGGCAGGGCCCTGGGAACAGCCAGGGCCCTGTGTGGCCAAGTGATTAGAGGCAACCCTCTGTCAGCCTGAGGCCCAGCCAGTCAGCCTGTCTCCCTGGCCAGGGCCTGCCTGACTGCTTTTGTCTGGGGGCCAATGAAACAACCCCCAAAACTTTCTGAGCCAAAGATAGAGTAGGACTCCAGGGCTTGTGGGACACGGATAGACCCTAGGCTGTCTGTCCTACCACAGTTGGTGCTGTCTGGGGAAAACCACCTATTGCCAGCAGCAGGAGCTTGGCCAGCCTAGGCTGACCCCAGGGGACTGGCTGTCCCCTGATCTTGCCTCTAAGCTCTGCCCTGCAGGGGTGGCTCTGTGGTGTGGGAGGCAGGGTATGAACATCAGGAATCAGTAGGCCAGGCCCTATGCCTAGTACCGTGGTGAGCCCAGGGCGCCCCCTGGTGTCCACTCTCCAGGCCCCAAGTTGCAGGCAGAAGGCAGTGGCCGGTGTGGGCCAGCCTGTCCAGGAGGGTGAACAGTGGGCCCACTGACACCTGCTCCTTGCAGCCCTGGACACATCTAATGTAATGGTCAAGAAGCAGGTGTTTGAGCTGCTGGCCGCCCTGTGCATCTACTCGCCCGAGGGCCATGCGCTGACGCTGGATGCCCTGGACCACTACAAGGTGAGCACAGGGCCAGCTGGGTGCGGGCCATGCAGCCCGCCTGGATGCACGCTCATCCCGCTCCCTGCAGACGGTGTGCAGCCAGCAGTACCGCTTCAGCATCATCATGAACGAGCTGTCAGACAGCGACAACGTACCCTACGTCGTCACCCTGCTTAGTGCAATCAATGCCATCATCCTGGCCCCGGAAGACCTCCGCACCCGCACCCAGCTGCGGAGCGAGTTCATCGGTAACTGCCTGCCTGCCTGGCCCCTCTGCCGGGCCCTCCCCTGAGCCCACCTGCACGCGTCCCCAAGAAGACACTGTCACAAGGCCCAGAGCCTCCTGCCACCCCTACCTGTCAGTGACTCAGCCCTGCTGGTTCCAATCCAAGACCAGCTGGGTGGTAGAGTAGGAAGTGACCACTGAACAGGCACCGTGTGTGTCTAGCATGCTGTCCCTTCTCTCCCCTGACATCTTGTGAGTGGGTGCTGTTTGGGGTAAGAGTGACTAAGGAGGGGAGGTGAAGGAGTCAAATACAAGTAAGACAGGTGCAAGTTGTCGGTGGGTTCCAGGGGCAGCCTCCAGACCCTCTGACCCTCTGTACTGCAGGGCTGCAGCTGCTGGACATTCTGACCCGGCTGAGGTGAGTTTCGCTGTGACTGGTCCTGCAGCTGCCCCCTTGCTTCTCCCAAGCCAGGCCCCCTTCCCTGGCTTCCCAGCTGCCTGGCCCACTCAGCACCTCCAGGGGACAGAGGTGGCTTCTAGAGCTGCCCTGTGTCCCGTCCTGAGCCAGCTGTCAGGTGGTGCTGTAGAAACCAGGCTTCCAGGTCAGCACAGCACCCCCAGTTACTGCCAGCGGCAGGCACATGACAAAGTGTCAGCGTGAGCACATCTAGACGCAGCTTGGGACACACTGACAACAGTCTGCCTCAGTTACCTGCCATCCCAGTGCAACTGGGCCACACTGAACACCTGTCCTGAGCTCAGTTGGCACTGCCCCAGGGACGTCAGTGCCGGCAGCTGGTATGGCTGCTGTTGAGTGGCCAAGCTCTGTGGGGTGGGTGTCCGTTCCCAGGCATGTGGGCACTAGGGGCCCAGCCCTGCCTGCTGAGGGCTCTGCTCACCAGCCAGGGGAGACAAGCAAGGCTGTGGAGGACTGGCCTTGGAGGTGGTCCTGACCTTTCCCTTCCCCTCCTGTCATATGTGGAGGTGCCTGGTGACCCCTGGCCAGCCTGGCAACACGTGGGGGCTCAGACCTGTGAGCCCCGCTCTCCAGCTGGGGCAGTAGAAAGGGACCAGTGGGGCATCAAGTCAGCCTGGCCTCTGCCTAGGGACCTGGAGGATGCAGATCTGCTGATCCAGCTGGAAGCCTTCGAGGAGGCCAAGGTGGAGGATGAGGAGGAGCTGCTACGTGTGTGTGACGGCATCAACATGAACAGCCACCAGGAAGTCTTTGCCTCTCTCTTCCACAAGGTGGGCCTGGATAGGGCTGGGGCAGACCCTGGGGATGAAGCCGACAATAGTACAGAGCTGGGGTCACGCTGCCCAGGTCAGGGCTGCACCATCCTGGGCCCAGCTGCCGGCCACCATCAGGGTCCCAAGTCCTGAGCCTGGCAGCCCCCAGCAGGGACACAGCCTGGTGTCATCCAGCGGCATCTTGAGTCACCTCCATTTGTCACTGCTGGGTGGAGCGTGCTCCTTGCAGGCAAGGCAGAGACCCTATAACGCACTGGACAGTCCGTGTCACCAGGAATGAAGAGGGGGCATGTGGTGGATGCCCAGGAAGATGGTGGGGTGCTGACCAGGCCCCTGGCCTCTCGCCCACCCAGGTGAGCTGCTCCCCAGCATCGGCCCAGTTGCTGTCTGTGCTGCAGGGCCTCCTGCACCTGGAGCCCTCAGGCCGCTCTGGCCAGTTGCTCTGGGAGGCTCTGGAGAGCCTGGTGAACCGGGCCGTGCTCCTGTCCAGTGATGGTGAGTGGTGGGCGAGCAGAAGGTACAGCCCGTGGGGAAGTCACTTTCCTGGGCCAAGGGGGAGGCCACCCAACCGGGCCTTTCTGCCCACCCCTTCTCTGCCCCTCCCCTGGCCTGAGAAGCCCCGACATGTCACAGCTCAGGCGTGCACCCTGGAGGAGGTGGTTGAGCGGCTGCTGGCTGGCAAAGGGCGGCCCCGTCTGAGCCCCCTGGACCGGGTCCACAAGAGTGTCCAGGCTGACCTCGACCAGAGCCATAGGGACACAGCCCCCAAAACCACTACTGTTCCTGGAGCTTGCATGGACTCCCAGAGCTCCTGCGTGACAGCTGCACAGCCCATGGCCCCCCAACAGAGAGCACCCGGCCTGCCCCCACCTGCACCACCTCTCCTGGGCCCCACCACTGGGCCCCCTTTACACCCTATGCCAGGCCTGGGGGCTACATCTGTCCCAGTGCCCCCTCCACCTCCTCCCCCTCCCCTGCCAAGCCTGGGG